CCGCCGGCCCTGCCGCCCCCCCTTACCGCACCCTGCCATCCTCTTCAGGATGAAGCCGGTGGGGAGCGTGAATGACGTGGCCCTGGATGCCTTAGATTTGGATCGGATGAAACAGGTGAGTGTGACCTTTCCTGGGAGGCCATGACAGAGCCAGAGGCCGGGACCCTCTCGGGTCCACGCGGGCAGGCAGGCTCGGCAGGGCGGCCAGAAGTCGCTCAGGGAGCCAGCGGTGGAGGAAGGGGGCACCCACGCTCAGCTCTGCGCCCCCAGCCCCGTCATCAGCAGAAAAGCACCCCTCTGCCCTTCTGGACACTCCAGCCTGCTCTGGGCGCCCCCACCCCCACCCCTGGGGCCACCCCTGGTAAAGCCAGCTTCCGGGACTCTGCTTCCTGTCCCTTCACATTGAGGCTCTGCTCCCAACAGGAGATCCTCGAAGAGGTGGTCCGAGAGCTGCACAAAGTGAAGGAGGAAATCATCGACGGTGAGTGCGGGGCCTGCCCTGGGGCGTCACCCAGGGTCCCAGGGGAGCGGCAGGGCAGCCTGGCTCCCAGGGCTGCAAGACAGCAGAGCGGTGGCGGCCCAGCCAGGGAGACCCTTCTGGGCCCAGAGGCCCGCGGTTCCATATCACCCCCGTTCTCTGGTCAGGCAGACTGAGGCTCAGTTAAGTGAGGTGGGGTGACAGCTAGCTCCGCACTCCCCGGCTTCCTCCCTGGGACGCACGTGTGAATGTGTGGACGGGAGAGGAGTCAGAGAACGCATTCCAGAGCAAGAGTCGAGGCCGCCTCCAGTCTGTCCCTCGTCCGTCTCAGTATCTGTGCACTCAGACTGCCTTTCTGGACTCTGCTACCTTTGATCACCGGGTTTGGGTTCCGAGCGTGGCTGCGGCCTTCCCCGGGAGGTGGTTACCGGGACCAAGAAGCCACAGAACCACCTGTGGCTCGGACGCAGTCCCCCGCTTGCTTGGCCCCGGGCCGGGCAGCAGGCATGCAGCTCCCGCGCCAAGAGCCGCTGGCTGCAGAGACTGGGGCCCCGGCACAGGGCATCACAGCCGTCCTGGCTCAGGTCCTGCGCCGGAGGGAGAGGAAGGGTTTAGGCAGAGCGGGCTCGCCCCGGGAGCGGGCAGTGAAGCGCAGCCCGGGCCCAGCCCGCCTCCCTCCCCCTCCTGAAGCTGGGCCTGGTCCCCACAGCAGCAGTGGGGACCTGGGCAAGAGGGGGCTCTGTGAAATAAAAGGGGTGCGCGCTGGTGGCAGGGGGCTGGAGAGGGGAGGCCAGGGTGGGAGCCCACGTGCGGGGCCTCGGCCCCGAGCTGGGACCGGCCAGGCCCTGTCCTTGCCCCAGCAGAGCATGCTCAGTTTGTGCCCGTCTGGCGTGTGTGTCCGGTCGTCGTCGTGTCATGGGGAGTGTTCCCCCGCTCGCCAACAGGCCTGGGCTGGGCAGATAAGGAGTTAATGAATGAAGAGCAAGGCCGGGCCCTGGAGCCAGAGAGGAGACACCAGGCTGACTATTAACTCTGCTTTATTGCTGCCCCCCTCCACACCCGCGCGTGGGAGGGGCCGACGCTCTGGCTCCAGGGCCAGAGCTGCTGTGCGGCCAGCCTGGGGGAGGGGGGCGGCGGGCAGGGATGGAGGCCCTGGGAGGTGCTGGGACACATGCCCCTGGGCCTCGCTCTCCAGCTGCAGGAGGCTGGGTAGGCGCAGCCGCCGGTGGAAGCGGCCACGTGGGCAGCGGCTGGGCCCGTGGGAAAGCACGGGCAATGTGGGGGCTCCGAGAAGCACCCCCGTGTTACTGGCTAAGTGCCCGGCATTCCGCTCTTTCGGCTCCAGACCCAGCGGGGTCTGTCTGGCGAAAGGCCCCAGTCTGGGGGGTGAACTGTGAGGGGTGCGGACAGGAAGCCAGGGAGAAGAGTAGGAGGAACCCTGCTCAAGGCCAGGCCCCACCTGCTGCCGCTGCCAGAAGCGGGGCTCCGGGTCCCCGAAGCAGCACTAGGTGCCCTGCTCTGAGGCGGGAGGCAGGCCAAGCACCATCTGCGCCCCGTCCCCCAGCTCGCCCTCTACCTGGGAGGGGCAGCACCCCCCTCAGACTGCCGGCTGGAGGAGAGCCTACAGGGCTCTGTGGTCGCCCCCGTCTGTGCCAGAGCCCTCTGCGCTGCTGGACCTCAGCCTGCGCCTTGTGACCTCCGGGAGCCTGGCTGAGGCTCTAGGAGACGGAGCAGGGCACACACCAGAAAGGTCCTGCCCCGGGGGCGTGGGCACAAGGCCCTACAGACAACCAGGCAGGCCTTGTCCCTGCTGCACCTGAGCCTCCCTGTCCTGTCCCTCAGCCATACGGCAGGAGCTGAGCGGGATCAGCACCTCATAGTGTCCTTGGCCCCTGCTGCTGCCGCCCAGGACACCAGGCCAGCTGACGGCGGGGGACAGCGACGGCCCGGCGGCCCCAGGCCTCCAGCACATGCAAGCCCGCACTGAAGCCGGGATGTGCTTCATTTAGAAGTCTTAACCTGTGATAAAATATTAAAATGAGGAAACAAGTTCAATTTCTGGATTTTTTTAGATCCTACCTGACACAGAACACCAGGTCTACTCGCCTTTTTTGTATTTTATATTTGCCTATTTAAGCGTACATTTCTTTTGGTTTATAGAGGACTCCCCAAATCACGCACTTCATTAGATGGTTTCCGAGTTTTCTCCTAGGTGATGCTGTCAACACCTTGGCAGTGGCGAGCTGTCCCCAGCGTCGTGGTGAAGTCTGTCCACGCACCGCAGTGTCTGTGTCCACGTGGTAATAAACGCTTACTGTCCACACCCCTGGCTCGGGCTCGCTCTCTCACGCCGGCTCTTGGCCACTCCGGGCTGAGGATGCCCCCTTCTGGGTGGGCGGCCCACAGGCCTCGTGGCCAGGAGCAGTGAGAACGAGGTGGTGGCCCTGGCGGGCAGCTGGGCTGCATGCGGACAGGGGAAGGCGGGAGCGAGGGCAGGGGCTGCTCAGGCACTTCCAGCCAGGGGTCCTGGGGAGGGCTGCCCCCCGTGGCCTCCCCCGAGACAGGCCCTGAGTGCCACCCACACCTGGAGCATCAAAGGGGCTGGCTCCATTCTGACCACAGCTCAGGGAGTGGTGGCTTGGGCTTAGCAAGGCAGCAGGGACAGGGCAGTTGACAGGCTGCATGGTCCAGGGAGGACCATGGCCCTGCCCTGCACGCCCACCCAAGGCCCACCCCAGCACTTCTCAGACCCTGTGAGTCCCCTTTGGAGCCAGAGAGGATCTGCCCCTGGGCCGGGAGCAAGCTGGAAATGCTGTCCCATCTCCTGACCCCCAGGGACACAGTTTGCCCAGCCGTCCTCCGGGGGATGGGGGCAGAGGGGGAGGGGATGAGGTGGGGCCCCCCAGTCTGGCTGATGACAGGGGACTGCTGTTTTCTGGCGAGGCTCCGGACACCCCAGCCCATCGAGTGCTCCCAACAACCCGGAAGATGGGAGCAGCACTGTTCTGCCTGTTGGGGGGTGAGCAGCCTGAGGCCTGATCTCAGAGCGGCTGCCCCCCCACCCCGGCCGGGTCCAGCACCCGTTCTAACCCAGTGGCGGGGGGGGGGGGGGTTGCTAGCAGATGGTGACAGAGCACACCTTTCTCCCTGGGCAGCCTCCTCCCCAGGACAGCTCTGCAGGAGGCTGTGCCGGCAGCCCCCAAGCGGGCCAGCCACCTGCCCAGGCTCCAAGAACTCTGGCCAAGCTGCGCTTCCCTCCCACAACAGCCGCGGGGCCGGTGGCCTCTTCCCAAGGGCCAGGTTCGGTGTCTAGGGGACACCGGTGCCTGGCATCTCAGGAGGCCACTCCCAGCTCCCGGCAGGAAGTCCGCGCTCAGCACCTGCCGGGTCTCAGGCACAGGGTGCGGCACCAGGCCTTCCTCCCGGGTCAGCCAGCACAGCCCGGCGGCGCCCATCCAGGGGTGGTCCTCAGCCTCCCCGGGGGCCCAGGTACCCCTCCTGCTCCTGCTCCTGCTCCTGCCTGCCGGCCCCTGGGAGACCGGGAGCCCACGCCTTGCAACCCCCTAGGTTTCAGCCATGCCCCCGTCAGTCAGGACAGGGTCATCACCAAGGACACCGGCCTGCTGCTCCCGGAGCTACAGTTCACTCAGCCAGTCCCCTATCTGTCCAGCCCCGTCTACCCTCCGTCTGGCCCGCGGCACCCGTTCCTGAAGATCTCTTCAAGTCCTGAGGAAGCTAGTCAGGGAGCCAGACCCCACCCTGTCCAGCCTCAGCCCTCGGGCTCAGAGAGGGCAGCCCTCAGGCCAAGGCCTCAGGGTGGAGCAGAGGCAGGGGTGCGACTGAGGAAAGCCAGTGTCTGCAGCGCTCAGCCGGGCTAGACAGGCGGGAAGGCTGCTAACGAGGGGCTTCCGGACCCCAGGGACCCCCACGCCCCAGGGCATGCAGGGGCCACCCACAAAGGCACAACCCCCTCCCCCCCGCCTCCCGGGGATGCTGCCCAAGCACAAGCGTGGAGAGCCACAGTCCCTGAGGGCGGGGAGCAGAGAGGCCATGGCCTGAGCTGTCCGGGAAGGAGGCACGCAGACCTGAGGCCCACTGGGGGGTGCCAGCGCCCCCTTCTGAGGCCAGGCTGGGGCCTTGACCGCCACTGGCAACCACGATCTGCGGGTGTGCAAACAGAATGCAGGGCGTGGGACCAGCAGAGAAATCAGCTCCGTGGAGAGTGCGGCACGGAGCACCCAGGGCGGGGCCGGCAGAAGAGGAGGGCCCACGCCGGTGGGGGGGCGACAGTGCAGGTGCAGACCAAGCCTCTCCAGGCTGCAGCCCGTGCCCAATATGGCCAGATGTGGCACTGGGCTCTGGGACAGAGTGCAGCCAGGGCGTGGGAACCAAATGCAGCCAAACCAGTTTTGGGCCCTAGGCTGGGGGGGGGGGGGGCGGGGAGGGGAGGTGATAGCCAGCCCTGCAGCAGGGGAGCCAAGGGGGCCCACAGGGTCCCCCTGACTCCCATCACGAGCAGGGCTCACAGACCGTCCTCGGCCAGCCTGCACACCCGCTTCACCCTGGCGTAGGGCCCCAGGGAGTCCTTGAGCACGAAATCCCAGAGCACCTTCACCCACGAGTGGTGCTGAGGCAGGTGGTCGTAGTACTCGGGAGCAATCTTCCTCACCTGCAGAGAGCGTGGGCAGGGTCAGAGGCCGCGGCCGGGCGCACGCCTCCCCGCCACACACATGCACGGGAGCACGGGAGCGTGCACACACCCCTGCGTGGGAGCACGCGCACGAGCACAACTCACACACACACGCAGGCGGGCGCACACTGACACACGCGTGCGCGCGCACACACCCCATCACCGCCCAGGGTACCCGTGTCCAGCACCGCCAGGCTGCTCAGTGCTCCCTGACGTGGAGGGGCCGCTGGCCTGGGACACCGACAGGCTCCGAGCCCCCTGCCCCAAGTCGGGGTGAGGAGTTAAAAATGCACCGTCCCCTCTCTAGAGCCCATGCCAAGTTTGTGAGCCAGGAGCCCCAGGTGGGCCCGGCTCCCGTTCCCCCAAGCACCTGCAGACTTCTGAGGCACAGCCTGGCTTGACTTCTGCTGAGTCGTGGTCACGGCCACGCTCATCCGCCCAGCGTCCCCTGCCCTCTCCTGCCCCCCAGCCCCTCCGGTGTCAGCTGACACCAGGCCCCCACCCCATCGCCCTCCTCCCAGCCTTAGTGCTTCCCATTTCCCAGTGGCGTGGAGCATACATCTCCCTCTAGCCTCCTGCCCCCTCTGCACCCACACCCTCAGCCCACCTCCTCCCGGAAGCCCTCCCAGCCCCAGCACCTACACGGGCACCCCCACCGCCGCTCGCCAACTGCCGGGGATGCCCTTCACTCCCCCCAGGGGGATGCACCCAGTGCTCAGGGCCTGCTTTATAGCGGAAGACAGGGGCTCGGGAGACCAGACCACCTGCTTGAGGCAGGAGCGGGGAGCCTTGACTTTGCCGGGGAGAAGAAAAGAAAGGCTCACACCTAACAGCACGTGCTTCCGGCCGGCCCCTGCCTGAGCCTGAAGGTGGACAACGGGGAAGGAGGACGCCCGCTGCCCGGGCCCGGCGTGAGGCTGAGATGGTGCCCGGCGCACAGTGGGACCTCAGGAGCGCCAGCAGGAGCCACAGGGGAGGCGAGGGCCGGGGGCTGCACAGCCAGGGCCAGACACACTGCTGGCGGCCGGACTCCGGGGTCACCCGCATGCCCAGACAGGTGCTCACACACGACCACATGCACAAACACGTGTACACACGACGGCACACTCGGACACAGGCAAGCGTCTGCACACGGGCGTGCACACACGCCTGCAGGAACACGTGCACACAGGGCAGGCGCACACACAGACTCCAATGCTCCGACATCCTCCCCACCGAGGCCTCCCCCAGCCGCCCTGGGCCTCGGGTCACCCCCAGCTCTTCCTGACCCGCCAGCCCACAGCTCCTCCTCTCCTCTTCCTCCCCCTCCCCCCTCCCCCCTTCAGAAATTCCCCAACCCCGGGGGGAGGGGGGGGCGGGCAGGGGTCACAAAGGCCAGGTCCACCCTGTCCTCCCTACGCCAGGAGGGGGCCCTGGAGGGTCACAGGGCAGTGACGGGAAATGAGCAGGGACAGGGGAGGTGGGAGCCAGGAAAGGGAGGTGTTTTGCGTGCAGTATGGCTGTGCCGGCCCGTCTTAAGGAAGGGGCAGCCGAGGCACAGAGAGGGCAAGGGGCCTGCCCAAGGACGTCCAGCCTGGGTTCAAAAAGGTTTCCATTCCCCCCCTCCCCCCACAAGCCCCTGCCCTTCCAGAAGCCACCTCCTTATTCTGCAGCCGGGCCCCCGCCTATCCGGGGGTGGGGGAGGCCTCTCCCGCCACCCTGGGCCCACAACTGAGACGGCGGGCGGAGGGCGATCAGCAAGGCCTGGAGAGCCGGGCTGTGGCCCCCCGCGCGCGCCCCACGCCCCCCCGCTCTCCGGCGCCACCGCGTACCAGGGGCAGGTTGCAGCCCGGGATGCTGGGGAAGTCGTGGTGCTCCACGTGGTAGCCCGCGTTGAAGGTGATCCAGTTGAGGGGCCCGTAGTAGGAGTACGTCTCGTGGCCCTTGACGAACATGTAGTGCTCGGCCACGAAGTGGCCCGAGATGGGGTGCAGGCCGAGGCCCAGCAGGGAGCTGGCCAGCAGGTAGACCACGGGCTTGAGCCCCCACAGGGTGAAGAGGGCGGCGTCGGCGGCCAGCTGCACCAGGGCGTTGAGCACCTCCATGCGGGTCACGGCCTTGGGGTGCACGCAGAGCGGCCGCAGCGAGTAGAAGAAGGGCTGCAGCAGCAGCCAGAGCAGCTTGCGCGCCGGCGTGCAGAAGAGCCAGCCCTCCAGGCGCGTGGGCACGTCCACGTCCAGCCCGTGGCCACCCAGGTAGCGGTGGTGGTCCACGTGGTACTTCTTGAAGGAGGCGGCATAGGGCAGGCCCACGGGCAGGTTGGCGAACACGGCGAGCCAGCGGTTGTGCCCCGCGCGGCCCGAGCCGAAGGCCGCGTTGTGCGAGATGTCGTGGATGGCCAGTGTCAGCGCGTGGTTGATGCAGCCGCCGAAGGCGTAGGCCCAGAAGAGCAGCCAGCGCCACGGCAGGTCCCGCGCCAGCCGGCAGGCCAGCAGCTGCACCAGCACCAGCCCCAGCACCGTCCACTTGAGCCGAGGGTCCGGCCGCATCAGGGCCTTGAGGGCCGGGTACTTGGCTGCGGGCAGGACCGAGGAGAGAAGGTGAGGCGGGTGCGCCGGCCGCGTGGGCCCCCCCCCAACCCCCCACCCCGGACAGAGCTCGGCCTCCCCGCTGCCTCCTTCCTGGCACCATCCACTGAGCCCCAGGCAGTTGACAGCAAGGTCCCTCGAAGACCTGGCCCTGGCAGAGCCAGACACGCCTGCCTCCCCACCACCTGGGGGCCCCGGGGAGACTTCCCAGGGAGACTTCCCAGGGCGGGGGCGGGGGGGGTGTCTTTGCCACCGGCCTAAGGAAAGAGCAGGTGTCACCACAGGTCACAGAAACATAATGCCCAAAATCCAAGCAGCGGCCGAGAGCTGCGGGTGCTGTGCGCTGCCAGGGGCTTCCAGCCCGAATGACGGGGTGCGCGCGGCACCCGGATGCATCGGGAGCCCCGGGGGGCACAGGGGTGGCCAGGGGTGGGGGGGCGTGGAGGGCTCTGGCTCTGCCTCCGGTGTTTCAGTTCCTAAACAAGATCTAAGGAAACATGATAAAATGTTGAATGCATTTATTTTGGGGGTGGGGGGGTGCTCGTTACAGAATCTTTTGTCCTTTTCTGTAGTTCGTTCTACAGGAAAGAAAAAGACAATGATGGTGTGAGTGGGCCAAGCAGGGGAGGGCCTTCCGGCCAGAAAGCAACCAGACCACCCTGCAGGGGTAGCACAAGAGTGGGGGGGGTGCCCTTGGGGCAAGACAGCTGTGCCTTCCAGAAACCTCCCTGGCTGCTCGGTGGGAGGGCGGCAAGGAGTCTGGCGCAGGGGTGGGGATGGACAGGGCCAGGGGTCATCCCATGCTCAGGGGGAGACGCTCCCGGGTCTGCTCTGTGCCCTGGTTCGCAGGCCCTCGGAGGCAGAGCCGCGCTGTGATGCACAGATAAAAGAAACTGAGGCCCATGAGGTCAGCGGGACTTATCCCGGGCACCCAAGAGAGCCAGTGCTGGTCTCCAGGGTCTTCACCGCTCCTGCCTACAGAGCAGCTGGGCTGCCTTGGGCCCAGCCTCCCCAGGCTGGCCCACGGACAGGGCCCGGAACCATCCAGGCCAAGGGCAAATCCTGCCCAGCCCTGTCCTCCAACTGACCCAGGAAGTTACTTCCCCTTTGTGCTTAGAAGGGAAAGATGTGACAGCTCTGCTCAGCTGCCCAAGGTCCCTACAGCCAGGCTCCTCCACCTTCCTCCTCCCAGCGCACAAACCTTTCAGTGAGAGCCACCCAGCAATGGAACAGGCCGCTTCAGAGGTAGTGAGCTGCTTGTCCCTGGGAGTATGCAAGCAGAAACACACAACAGGGGCAAAGGGAGTCTGCCCCAGTCAGAAGGGAGACTCAGGGTCAGGCTCCTCCTGCCTGAGCTGCCACCCCCCAAGCCCATCTTGGGGTTAGTCTTGATCTTGCTATGTGGCTGGGGCTACATCCCTACCCTCTCTGGGCCCCGGTGTCCCGGCGTGTGATGGCAGGGGTATGATATGCTTCACAGGGTTGTCTGTCCCCACAAAACGATGCTGGCTCCGTGACAGCGAACAGCCCGCATCTGCTGGAGATGCTGTGGGGAGCTGGGGTTCCCAAGCCCTAGAACCCCAGGCCACCTCTGCCCGGAAGCCAACAGAATCCCCCAGGCAGCCCTTACCCCAGCGCCCCAACCAAGCCTTCACCTCATCGGGCAGCTACCGTGGCTTGAGCTCTAGCCCAGGGAGCAGCGGCTCTCCACAGCCCTAAGCACGGCCTTCGAGCGGCCGAGGTGGGGTGTGAACCCCATGGTGGACAGTACCAGGGCCCCCTGCTCCCCCGCCCACGGCTCCCACTGCAGCTGCCCACCCCCCCTTGCACGCAGGGGCCGCCTCCGGCCTGGGACAATGCCAGTCCCCCGGCCTCCAAGCTGCACAAAGCCGCCGGGGCCCTTTGATCCCGGGAGCTCTCTCTCCCTGGAGCTTGGCCAAGGACCCCGCCGGGACGCTGGTCACAGCACAAGTGTAGACACAGAACTTCAGACAAAGCAAGCAAGCCAAGCGACAGGTGACAAAACTCAGGCCCACTCAACGGGGAGCTCAGGAGCCACAGCATCGCGGAGGGCTGGGAGAGGGCCGCATTCGGAGCAGGTTCAAATCCTCACTCCAGATGAAGGTTTAATATCCAGAATATATAAAGACTTCCCACAACTCAACAACAAAGACAAACAGCCCAATGTAAAATGGACAAAGGACTGGAACAGGCAGGTCTCCAAAGATGTGCAACCAGCCAAGAAGCACAGGAAAAGATGCTCTGCATCAGTAGTCACCAGGGAAATGCAAACGAAGACCACAAATGAGACCCCCCTTCACCCCTGCGAGGACGGCCAGAGTCAAAAACGGACAACAGCGAGTTTGGCAAGGATGTGGCAATCCCGGAGCCCTTGCTCGGACACTGCTGGTGGGGGTGCAACAGGGTGCAGCCGCCATGGAAAACCATTTGGCAGTTCCTCAAAGACGTAACTGTAGAATTACCATAGGCCCCAGCAATTTCACTTCTAAATACAGACCCCAAAGACTTTAAATTGGGGGCACACACAGATACTTGCACACCAACGTTCATCGCACCATTCAGAGCAGCCAAAAGCTGAAACCAACCCCAGTGTCCATCCACAGGTGACCAGATAAAACAAAATGTGGTGTGTCCACGCAATGGAATGTTATTCAGCCATAAAAAGGAACAAAAGTTCCAGTCAAAAAAAGAATTAAGTCCTGCGGGTGTAACGTAAAGCATAAGCCACTACAGTCAATAACACTATGTGGGGGGCGCCTGGGCGGCTCAGTCGGTTGAGCGTCTGACTTAAGGTTTCAGCTCAGCTCAGCCCATGTTGGGCTCCACGCTGGGTGTGGAGCCTACTTCGAAAAAAAGTAGATCTTAAAAGTTCTCATCAAGAACTTTTCTCACCCGAGAACTCAAGAACAAACGTTTCTATAACTGCATATGGTGACAATGTCAGTTAGACTCACGGTGGCGATCATTTTGCACCACAGACCGAGGGATCCTGTCATACACCTGAAACTAATACCATGTTCTATGTAATTATACCTCAATAAAAAAATGTCTATATTGAATTTTCCACCGTCCCTATTTCACAATGCCGACACCCTACTCCCGCTCCCTGAAATGGACTCCCAAGTAAACGACTGGCTCCCCCAAAAAAATGTGTTTAGAAGGAAGAAGTGCTGACCCAGGATACACATGGATGAGCCTCGAAGACATGATGCCGAATGAAAGCAGCCAGCCACACGGGCCACGCACCCCATGACAAGTGAAGGGTGGAGAACAGGTGCGTTCCTAGGGACGGAAAGGAGCAACCGGTCAGCAGGGGCTGGGGAGGGCGGCGGAGGGGTGAGGAGGGGGCGGGAACAGGTCTGTGTGGAGCCAGGAGGTGGATTTGGAAATAGCCACGGTGCACGACACCCTGCATGCCACCAAATCAGACGCGTCAACATGGTTCCAAATGGCAAACTGTCAGTTCTGTGTGTTTGACCACAGTAAGAAGAAAGTTTCAGACAAACTGGCCGCTCAGGGCAGGTGAGCTCAGCCACGGGGCTGGGCGTGCGCAGCCGGCGGGGGTCACTGGCAGGACTCACGGATCAGCCCTGCAGGGCTCGGCTCACCGGCCCGGGGAAGGCACGCACAGCGGCCCAGCTGCGGGGTGACTGCCGGGGTGCGCGGGGGAGGCCGGCCCCGCGGAGGCCTGCAGCCGCGTCATCGGGGCACAGGGACTGCAAGGGGGCAGAATACCAGGCTGATGAACTGCTTCCCCCACCCCCCGGGTCCTGCCCACACTGCCTCACGGCCTCTGGCGTCGTGCCCGCACCGTGGGAGGTGACCCGGCTGCCATAAAGGTCAGAGGCCCCGTGGGGTGCTTGGCGCCCTGCGCAGGCAGAGGAAGGCTCGGGGTGGCCGGTGCCACCTTAAGCCAGGAGACCCCGTTCACAAGCTGGAGAGAGAGGCTCCTGCCAATGTGGGGGGCGGGGGCGGGCAGGATAATGGCCCCCCAGAGACATCCACATCCCAACCCCATAAGCTGAGGAGGTTCCAGCCCCTGGCAAGAGAGAACCAAGGTTGCACAGGGGAGTCAGGTGCTAGCAGCCGACCTTACAACAGGACGGTGACCTGGATCATCCAGGTGGCCGGTGTCATCCCAGGGCCCGCCCTCTCAGGGGAAGCACAGGCAGGAGAGAGGGTCGGGGGGGGGGGGGGGGGGATTGGGAAGGACCCCATCTGCCCCTGCTGGTTGTGGAGGTGGAGGTGGGGGTGGAGGTGGAGGAGGGGCCCCGAGCCCAGGAGTGCAGGTGCCTGCAAAGCTGGAAAGGCCTGGAAAGGGCTTCTTCCCCAGGGGCGTGGCCCTGCGACACCCTGACTTCAGCCCCGTGACACCCGTGTCAGACTTCCGGCCCCCCAGAGCCAGGAGAGAACACGTGTGTGCTGTCTGAAGCCCCCCAGTTTGTGGTCACCTGTCACCGCGGCCCAAGGAAACACCGGGCACCTAGACCAAGGATGAGGAGACCATGACCGCTCTCGCAGCTGGGCCCGCCAGGGGGTCCACTCCTCCAGCCCTGTCCCTCCTCCGTCCTAGCACCTGGCGCAGGGCCCAGGGCGACTCACGCTCTGCCTGCCCGCCGCCCCCCGCCAAGGGCCCCACAGCCCACCAGCCCTGGCCAAGCGGGAGGAGCCAGCACCGCACCTGCCCGGTGTCATCCTGCCGTGCGGGACAAGAGACCAAAGGACCCAAGCCTGGGAGCGGGGACGGCCATGTGGGCCCCACTTGGGAGGGGGGACAGGGGGCAGGCCTCATCCCAGCTTGCTCCTCTCCCAAAAGGGGGTCAGAGTGAGAGGGGACACTTCAGAAAGTAGGCCTGGATTGCCTGGGAAGAGAGGTGCTTCCGGGGGATGCTGGGGGCCCCGGGAGGTGGGAATCCTGCAGCCACGGTGAGGTACAGTGGGAGAAAGAAATGGTTTCAGGCCAGAG